GCTGACCCTTGCAAAGCAGACTCTAGGCCGTTAAGCGTGGAAGCCAGAGGGCTGGGTCTCCCTGGGTATCCATTCCAGACAGGTCAGTGACTATTCTGTCCTTAGAGACCTCTGGAGAGAGGCTGCAGCCCGGCTCAAAAGCCATTCCAGTGCTTCGTGTCATTTATTCCTTCCAGAAATATTTACTGGGCACCTACTAGGTCCCAGGCACCATTCTATGTGCTAGGATTGTGGCCATAAATAAACACAAGCCAAAAAAAAACAAAACAAAACAAAACACTGCTCCTGTGGAGTTGACCTGTTGGTGGGAGTTTACAGAGAATAAACAAAATAAGTAAAATATCTGATGTATTAGATTGGTTGGGGGGTAAGGGTAGAGGAGGGAGTGCAGGGAAGGACTGGGGACACAACGAATTGGCAGGGAGTCAGAGAAAAACTGCCTAAGGTGACATCTGAGCAAATATTTGAAGGTAAAGGAGCCTTCCACGCAAGTGCAAAGGCCCTGAGGCAGTCAAGTAACCAGTGTGGCAAGCGTGAAGTGAGACAGAAAGTAGCAGATGAGGAGCTCAGAGAGGCGATGGGGCCAGATTCCCCCGACTCTTGCAGGCCTAAGCCTTTTGGCTTCTATCTGAGTGAAGTCTGGAGTCAATGCAGGATTTCAAGCAGAAGTGGGGACAGGACCTGACCTGTGTCTTGAACAGGCCCCCGCCGGCTGCTGGGTTGAAAAGCGACTCTAGGGCTCCAGGATGGAAGCAGGGAGAGCAGTATGGAGGGAATGTTCAAGCCGATCCACAGTGGTGGCTCTGGCCACAATGGTGGGGGGGATGAAGTGGGGGGAGGCTGTGAGAAGCTAGCAGATTTGGAAACATTTTGAAGAAAAAGGCAACAGGATGTGCTGACAGCTGAGATGGGGAATGGGAGGGTAGGGAGGGTCAAGGATGCTGCAGGTTTGGGGCCTGGGCCTCTGAGAACAGGGCTGGTATTAACTGACATCAGGAGGGTCTGAAGTTCTGCTTGGGACAGGCTAGGTTGGAACACTCCCCCCGTCTCCGGTTGGAAAGTTGAGTCCACCACCACATTCAAAAGGCAAGTCACCTCCAAGAGTATCACCAATGGAGCCGGTCCAGCTGGGGAAAGGAGAACAGGGCAAAGCCGTAAGGCAACCCGGGAACCCCGAATTAGCTGCTGCCCTGCCCTGTCCTCTCAAAGGTTCCCCCTTTCTCCTCCCCAAGCCATTTACTTTCTTACTTTGGGCCCATCATGCTGCCACTCAGGGCCTCGGATTCCTGCATTCATGCAGGAAGTGGGGTGAGGGGAAGACCCCATTAGTTCCAGGGTCCCTTTCAGCTCTAACCATCCAAAGGAAGGGAGAGAGGGGAAGACTGGAAAGAGGGGTGAACAAAAAGGGGAAGAAGACGGGAAGGTGGAGAAACACAAAGGGATGAGTCTGAAAACCAACAGGAAACTTGGCGGGGGTAGGGGAATTGGGGGTGGAACTGGGCTCTTCAAAGACTGTTGTGAAGCCAGGAGGAGCTATTAAGGGACAAATTACAGGGCGCCTGGGTGGCTCAGTCGTTAAGCGTCTGCCTTCGGCTCAGGTCATGGCCCCAGGGTCCTGGGATCGAGCCCCATATTGGGCTCCCTGCTCCGCGGGAAGCCTGCTTCTCCCTCTCCCACTCCCCCTGCTTGTGTTCCCTCTCTTGCTGTGTCTCTCTCTGTCAAATAAAGAAATCTTTAAAAAAAAAAAGGGGGGGGGGACAAATTACACTGACGTCAAGGCCAGATCTTACCCCAGGGAGAATTTCTAATAGCTTCTAAAATATTCCTGTTCTCCCACCCCTTGGCTGCCGATTCAAATATTCAGAGATTTACTGAATTCTCAGAGGCAAATAGCAGCTCAGGGGTGATATACTAGCAAGATTCCATGAACGGCAACACGGACCCACTACTTCCGTTCACCCCCAGCCACAGCAGGTGCAGCAGCAAAAACTAATTAGAGAATTCCAACTGGAGTCGACCGCTTACAATTACTGAGCGCTAAGTGTATACCAAGCAGCAATATTCTACGCACTTGCCAAGTACTCGCTCATCTGTTCCTACATCACTGCTCTTTGCTTCATACTGTCTTATCACCCGTTTTCTACATAGGTAAACTGAGGCATGCAGAGAAGTAACTCTCCTGAGCTGCAGAGCCAGGATTTGAAGCCAGGGGACACAGGCACTCTGCTCTGAGGCACTGCACTGCTAATATTTTTTTTCTACTTTTTGACATGTTTCCAATTTCTCTACACTGGGTCTGCAACGTAATAAATAATTTTTAAAAGTTAACCTCCAGGGAGAGGCCCAGGCCCATTCTCCCAACCATCATACAAACACCAGCCGCAAAACAGCCCCCTCCTGCCAGCAATGATGGAAAAAAAATAAGCCAAGTGTTGGTGAACTCGGCACCTGTTTGGGTAATGAAGCTCCTCTCTTCTCATCCCAGAACATCTGCCTGGGTGAAGGTGGTTAAGTCACTGGAACCCTCATCGTGGGCCACTTCCATGTTCTGGTTTTTCTGGACATTTCCTGAAGCTCAGAGGCAGGCAAGGGCCCAGGAACAAAGCTCTGATAAGAGTCTCACGTGGGCCAGTCCCTTTAATTTCTGAACACACGACCTTGGTCAGGGAGAAGCCTGGCATGCTGTGTGTGTGGGAGGGGAGGGTGCAGCCCAATCCCTTCCCCACCAAATGAAGAAAAAATGAGTCCAAAGGAAGGACAAGCAACTGGAAACCTACAACTTCATCTTCAGAAAGATGATTAAGAAAGCATTGTTTAACTCTGTTCAGGGCACAGGCTGAGCCTCTTACATAGATGATCTCATTTACTCTTCAAACCACCATAACCATAAAAAGCCCCCAAAGTTGGGTGTTTTGTGGGTGTGGTTTTTTTTTGGCTTTTTCTGTTTTTTGCATCCTGCCCCCATTTTACAGATGAGGAACCTGAGCACAGAACGTTCTTGACCAAGGTCACACAGTTTAACTGGCTAGGAGGCTGGCCTTGAGTATGCCATCCTAGAAAACACAGAAGCTACCTTCTTTCTGTTCCATTTGGTTTCTCCTGCTGCCTGGAAGTTCTCCGGCCAGCTCTCCAACTCTGGTTCCAGGCTCCAAATCCCCCCCTGCAAAAACTGCGGCATCCAGGAATCCAGAAAGAGAAGAGACAGAGGAAAATCTGCAAGGTCAAAGACGGTGGAGGGTCTGGCCATGAAGACCAGCCACTGCCTCCCCAAGCAAAACCACCACCTGATCATTTCTGTAGCAAAGAGTCCAAAGAGGAAAAAACACAACTGGTTTTCCTGGGTGAGCTTCTTAAGTGAAATCAACGGAGAGCACCCCCCCACACACACTGCTTTGGAAAACCTCATTAATCATGGACTGACAGCAGTCATCAATAAAGCACATCCTGATGCAAAATCTAATTTATGGTGGCCTATTTTTCCCCCTGTGTAACCCAGGAGAAGGAAATAAACAAGGAAACACTCCAAAATTCACAGCAACACTAGACCAGACCCCTCTCTGGGTCTGTGCATAAATAATCTTGGTGCTGTTACTTACACCTGGTATAGGGAGCAGGAACTCCACAGGTTTTTCCAGAGTCCTACTTTGCAAATGCTCTGTTCTCCAATCCCCCCCCGCAACCCTGAATGCAAAAGCATCTCTCTGATTTCCAGCCCAAGAATAAATCTCTGGTCCCACCGGCCTGAAAATTGGAGACATACTGAGGTGTATTTGGTTGATACCCCCCAAAATAAAGCCTTCCCCTGGGGCCCTCAGGGATGACTTTTTCAACACTCCAAAGGCAGTCTGCAAGGAAGGAAAAGGCCATAAAACAGGACAAGGAGGTATTTTTGGATGCTAATCACCAGCTCCAAAGACCCAAAGCTGTTTTTCTCTCCTGAGTCCTACACAAAAGGGGGAAAAAAACTATCATGTCCAGATTTGCCTATTGTGTTTACCAGTAATCAAGACAGTGTGACACTGACGTGCCCTCCTGGAACAAAGGGGTAAATCGCATTACAGAGAAGCTAAAGCCCAAGACAGTGGGGATTAAACCACCGAAAGTGGACTCGGGACTCCGGAGCCGGGGCCAGGCGCAGCACTGAACACGCAGAGGAAAACTTGCCAGGGTAAAAGCCAACGTGCATCCCCACAGACAGGAGCCTCACATTACAGAGGTGGGATGACAAAGGTACCAGGGTCTGGGGCATCCTGGGGGGGACCCCAAACCTGACCCAAGGGTCAGGTGAGACATGGCAGCGGTGAGCAGCCCTACGTTCTTCCCCGCCTGTTCCCCAAATTCCCCTATAGTAATTAAGGAGGCAAAGTAAAAAATGGCAAAAAAAAAAAAAAAAATGTAACCACAGGAGTCATGTTGATGCAGCACAACCGCGAAGAGGGCAAACATCCCTTCCCACAGCCCCCGAGCCTCTTCCCAGCTCAGACCTTTGGAAAGGGGGCGTTCTTTGTGAAAAGGGGGGGACCCCACTCCACAAAGGAGATAGGAGAACTTAATCCAGGAGACAACCCCCTGTGCTGCCCGCCCCCCCCATCCCCGGCGTCCCCTTCCGCGGAAGGTTATTTTTAATTGCAGGGGGCAGCCGCAAAGCAGGAAGCCCTCTCCCCCAGGCTCTGGCCCCCCACGTATCCCCTAAAGCCTGGGAGCCGGGCACATGCAAAGCCCCCGCCCTGCTTCCCGGGAACTGAGCCGCCCAAGTTTCCACCCCCCCCCCCAAAAATCAGCGGCAGCCGCGAGGGGCCGGGCGCGGACCCCACCTCCCACCCCCACCCCCCGGGCTGGCTGCAGGGTCGGGTAACTCGGCTCCGCGCGGCCGCGGGTGCTCAGGGGGCTGCGGGCCGGGCCCTTCCCGCCGGGTGCTTCTCCTCGCCAGCCGGGCTCCCAGCCGGCGGCTGCCCCCTCCCGGCGGCACCACGCTGCCCGGGCGGCCGCCGAGTACGTACCCAGAAGGGGTCGGAGCCATCAGCGCTGCAGAAGCCGCGGAGCGCCATGCGGCGGGCGGGCGGGCGGGCGGACGGGCCCGGCGGCTGGCGACTGCTGGCGGCTGCTGGCGGCGGCGGCGGCGGCGGCGGGAGGGCGGGAGGCGGCGGCGGAGGGGGCCGGGGCCGGGGCCGCAACGCCGCCTGGTTGGCCGGCGCGTCACGGGGATGCGGCGCCCCGCCCCGCCTCGCCCCGGCGCCCCGCCCTGCCCCGGCGCCCCGCTCCCCTTCTACCCGGGGGCGCGGGCGCGCGGGGAGGCTGCGCTGCGCCCTTCGGCGCCCTGCCCGCCGCCCCCCTCCTCCGGCTCCACAGCCCGGCGGGGGCCCGGGCGGAGGAGCGTGCCCTCCGGGAGCGGCGGCACCCTGCCACCCATTTTCCAGTCCCGCGGTGGCGGCGACGACAGCAACGGTAATAGTAACACCAGGAGAAACCAGGTACTGAGCCCTGGGCCAGCGAGAGTGCCAAACGGCTTAGCTGCGTCCTCATTGGATCCTCGCTAGCGGCACGGAGCTTGAGTGGCTTCTCCAGGGCCACCGGGCCAACGCAGCCCGCTGATACCCAGAGCTGACACGGAGACAGTAGGAGGTGGATACACTTCGGAGTCAACCCTTCACAGATGGAGAAACGGAGGCCCAGAGAGGTGAAGTGGCTTGCCCAGGGTCACACAGCTGCCAATAGCAGAAGCGGGATTTGGAACCCATGACCCATCTGACGCCAGAGCACTCAAGGCCCCCAAAACTCCAATCTCCATCCCAAACAGTGGTCGCCCCCCACATGTGTACAAAGCACCTGAGGCTCAGAGAGGTGAAATGACTTGCTCAAGGCCACACAGCTGCCATAACAGAAGTGGGATTTGAACCCACGACCTTTTGGACTCCCAGCACTCCTGGCTGGAAGACTCCCAACCTCCCAAACAGTTGCCGCCCCCATGTGTGTACAAAGCACCTTGGCATTTTCTCCATCATCTTTGAGCAGCACTCAACAAACAGGCAGGTTATTGATCATCACCTTAGAGGTAAAGAAACTGAGGCCTGGAGACATATAAACCTTTCTCAACTCATGTGGGGGTGACATGGGATAAACCCATGGAAGTTGAAAATATCCTAAGTTGAAAATGCATTTGATGTACCTAAACTACCAAACATCATGGCTTAGCTTAGGCGACTTTAAATGGACTCAGAACACGTACATTAGCCTACAGTTGGCAAAATGATCTAACACAAAGCCTACTTCATAATAAAGTGTCGAATACGTCCTGTAATTTACTGAATACCATACTGAAAGTGAAAGAATATTTGTGTATCAGTTATAGGTGCTCTTGATTGTGTGACTGGGGGCTGCAGCTTGTTGCATATGGTGATAAAGTATCATAGGGCATCTCACTAGCCCGGGACAACATCCAAATTCAAAAATCGAAGTCCAGTCTCTACAGAATGTGTACAGCTTTCACACCATCGTGAAATCGAAAAATCCTAAGTCAAACCATCATTTAAGTCTGGGACCATCTGTAGGCATAATTAACAGGCATTTAGAGTCATGGAGCGTCCTAAGGCTGTGTTCTTAGCAATGAACATGAATTAACTTAAATACAACAACCCCATGAGGTTAGTATTATGATTATCCCCATTTTGCGGTTGAGGAGACTGAGCCCCAAAGAGGCAGAGTAATTTGTCAGGGATTATGTAGACAGTAGGTAGCTAAATCACACTTTGAACTCGGGCAGACTGGTTGGGAAGAGAGGAATCTGTAACACTGACCATTTTGCCATATCGCCTCAGAACCGGTTAATGTCCAGGCAGTCAGTGACACAGGAGCTGGGGCTGGGGCCTGGGAGTTTTCACTGTGGATACTTGCAACACCTCTCTTCCCTCCACTCCTTAATCCCCTGCCAGATGCATAGTTTCCATCACACACACACACACACACACATCAGGGGCACCAAATAAAACAAAAAGAGTGATTGAATATGAGACCCCCACAGGACCTAGGGAGGGAGATAGGATTGGTTTCTATGATTTTTTTTTTAAAGATCCATTTATTTATTTTAGAATGGGTGAGAAAGAGCATGAGCGGGAGGGGCAGATGGAGAGGGAGAGAGAGAATTGCAAACAGGCTCCCTGCTGAGCCCGACACGGGGCTCGGTTTCATGACCATAACATCACCACCTGAGCCAAAACCAAGAGTCCAACGCTTAACCGACTGCACCACCCAGGCGCCCCTCTGTGATTTTTTTTTTTTTTTTAATTGGCCCAGGTTCCTCTGAGAGTGAGTTTTTAAGGGGTAAGTACTTTCAAGTGATAATGCTCCTTGGGTAGTTGCTTTGAGATTTAACATTCAACAAATACTTATTGAACATCTATTATAGGCCAGGTCTTGCTAGGAACGAGAGAAAGCTGCTGTTCCTATGGAGCAGAAAGAGTTAGAGTTGTTTTTATTGTGGGTGGTGGGTTTTTTTAAGTAATCTTTATGCCCACCATGAGGCTTGAACTCACAGCCCCAAGATCAAGAGTCGGACGCTCCACTGACTGAGCCAGCCAGGTGCCCCAAAGGGTTGACGTTTTTTTCAAGTATTTTTTTTTAATGGTAGGGGAACAGGTTAATTAAATTATCACATAAAGAAAGGCCATTTACAACTGTGGTAGAAGCTAGGCAGAAAAGTGGGAGAGAGCCAACAAGGGTCCTGGCTTGCTGCCAGTGGAGGTCAAGGAAGACTTCTGGGAGGATGGAGCTTTTGAGCTGAGATACAAGTGAGGAGTCGGATCTTGGGCCTGCAGAAAACAGAACAGGACAGAGCAGGTCCTCAGAAGAACTGAAAGATGGTCTGGGTGGCAGGAATCCAGAGACAGAAGCAGAAGGGACCCATCCGGGGCATGAGGCATCAGAAAGGGCCAAGACTTGCAGGATCTTGTTGGCCGAGGGAGGGCTTTCAGCTCGGTCCTGAGAGCCATGGGGAGCCACCGGTAGGTTTTCAACAGGGCAAGACAGGGCCAGATATGTTTCCGTTTTCATCCACACATTTTGTTCATTCATTCTTTCAACAAATAATGATTGAGCAAACATATGAAAAGGTTCTTAACATCATTAGTCACCAGTGAAATGCAAATAAAACCCCAGCCATGACAACCTACTGGAGTGACTAAATTGAAAATACAGAGTTTCCACCAAGATGCAGAAGTAGGAAAACTCTCCTACTCCGTTAGCAGGAGTGTAAATTGGTTCAACCACTTTGGAAAACTGCTAGGTACTTTCTGCCAAAGCTAAACACACGACTACATGGTGACACAGCAACTTCGCTCCTTCCTGGGGTGGGGGCGGGGGGAGCACTGATGTGCATCGAAAAATATCTATGAGAAATGTCCATAAGTTTTATTCATATAGCTAAAAACTAGAAGTAATGGGAATAGCCCATCAGTAGTCAAAAAAGATGAGAATTGTGGCATCCCACCCAGTAGATCGCTACACAGCCAAAACATTTTTTTTTTAAAGAATCAGGGGCACCTGGGTGGCTCAGTTGGTTAAGCATCTGCCTTTGGCTCAGGTCATGATCCCAGGGTCCTGGGATGGAGCCCCACATCGGGCTCCGTGCTCAGTGGGGAGTCTGTTTCTCCCTCTTCCTCTGCTGCTTCCCCTGCTTGTGCTCTCTCTCTCTCTAAAAAAAAAAAAAAAAAAAGGAAAAAAAAGAATTAGGGGCACCTGGGTGGCTCAGTTGGTTAAGCATCGGACTTGTGATTTGGGCTCAGGCCGCGATTTCAGGGTCATGAGATCGAGCCCCATGTCAGATCCCATGCTCAGTCGGGAGTCTGCTAGGAGTCTCTCTCTCTCTCTCCCTCTCTCTCAAAAAAAAAAAAAAATCAAACTACTAACACATGTAACAATATAAAAGACTGGAATGTCACCGAACATAGTAAGGAACAAACGAAGCCAGACACAAACGAGTACATTTTTTCAGGATGCCATCTGTAAGAAGTTCAAGCAAGGCATAACTAGTAGACGTTGATCTGAGTTAGAACAATGGGTATGTTTGAGGGGATATTCATTAGCAGTGGATACAAGAGAACCTGCTAGGGAGCTGGAAATGTCCCATAACTGGATCTGGTGGTAGTTACATGGTTTATACACACACACACACACACACACACATTTTTTTTTTAAGATTTTATTTATTTAGGGCGCCTGGGTGGCTCAGTTGGTTGGGTGACTGCCTTCGGCTCAGGTCATGATCCTGGAGTCCCAGGATCGAGTCCCGCATGGGGCTCCCTGCTCAGCGGGGAGTCTGCTTCTTCCTCGGACCCTCTTCCCTCTCGTGCTCTCTATCTCTCATTCTCTCTCTCTCATATAAATAAATAAAATCTTAAAAAAAAAAGATTTTATTTATTTATATGAGAGACAGAGAGAGAAGCAGAGGGAGAAGCAGGCTCCCCGCGGAGCAGGGAGCCCGATGCGGGACTCGATCCCAGACCTGAGCCCAAGGCAGACGCTTAATGACTGAGCCACCCAGGCGCCCCCCACACACACATTTTAAATTCATTGAGCTGGAGGGCACCCGGGTGGCTCAGTCTGTTAAACATCTGTTTTCGGCTCAGGTCATGATCCCAGGGTCCTGGGATGGAGCCCTGAGTCAGGCTCCCTGCTCTGCAGGGAGTCTGCTTCTCCCTCTCCCTCAGCCCCTCTCCCCTGCTTGTGCTCTCTCTCTCTCTTTTTCTCAAATAAATAAATAAAATCTTTTAAACAAAAGTAAAATAAAATTCATTGAGCTGGACATTCAAGGTGGTTGTACTTGGCTCTATAAGAGATACACCTTACATAAACATTTAAACCAGAAAATAAATAAATAATGAGTGTACCATTTTCCAGGAACAGAAACTGAGGGTTAAGTGACATGATGTAACCTGCAAGGTCCCACGGCTGGGATGTGGCCGAGAGAGGCCCAGCCCTCCCCTGCTCCCCAAGCTCCTCCCACCACCACAGCGGACCCCGGAAGGCCCTCCCTTCTTCTCTCCTTCCCCTTCCTCC